ACTGAGCCCCCCAGGCGCCCTGAAAACTTGATTTAACCCGAGTTCCTGACGTTGTCCTCAGTGGGGCTGCCATTGGTGACATCCTGGGAGCCTTCGGTGTCTTGCACCCCCTGTGCCTTGTGGGGACAGGCTGAACCCCATAGGAAGGCCGCGCTGAGTGGGTGTCTGTGGCCGGCCACAGGAGCTTGGAAGCTCGGAGCGGCTCCAGGTGGTGGGGTCCTGGGGTCAGATTTGCTGGGGCCGGGACGCTGGCCAGGCCTTCGCGCGGCCCGCTGGTTCGCAGAGCATTTCCTCCTCTAGGACGGAGGTTCCTTTGCGGCTTTGGACTGTACCAGCTGAGTGGTTTCTCTCCCTCTTCCTGCTCCTGTTTCTCCTCGTCTTCCTTCTCCTAGTGCAAGACTCTTCTTCGGTGCCACTGCCCGCCTTCCTGGTGGCCGGAGGAAGCCTGGCCTTTGGGACACTCCTGTGCATCGGCGTCGTCCTGAGGTGAGCGGGGCTGGGGCGGCCGGGGGGCACCCTCCTCCTCCTCGGGCTGATTTGGGGTATATTAGAGGAGGAACTGACGAGACTGGATGACACATTAGATGAGGAGAAGGAAAGGGGGTGAGTCAGGGTGCCCCTCAAGTCTCCAGCCTCGGCAGCTGGGTGGATGGCGGGGTCAGTCCCGCGGAGACTGGGGGGCGACGGGGGGCAGTGATTCTGCTTGGGGGCGTGGAGTTTGAGGTGCCTGTGAGAAGCCTGGGCGGACATGTTTGGTAGACGGTTCGGATCACTGCCGGTGAGTAGGGGGGACACGGATGAGGCTGTGACAGTCCCTGTGGAATTCAGAGGTTGAAAACTTGTGTGGACGCGGAGGGACCGGGAAGCCTGCTTGATAGAAGCGGAGGGGGCGGCGTCTGTCAGACACCGAGGACGCCCCTCAGGCTCGGGGGCTGCCGTGTAATATGACCTTGCCTGTCCTCCAAGAGCCACACACCGACGTGGTTGTAGGGCCACGTGAGAAACGCCACGGAAGTCTGTGAACAGGCAAGTCCGAGGTGCCTGGCCAGACCCCCTTGGGAATATCCCGTAGCTCAAAACGAGCGGACCTAGAGGGTCCCCTGTGAGTGCTCTGTCCAGGCCTGTCCTCCAGCGCCGGTGATTAGCACCATGCCCGCGTTGCTCCATCTCTCTCTCTCTCTCTCCTGTTGGCCATTGGTTTTGTCCCTGTTCCCAAGCTTGCAGGGATGTCAGCCAGCGGTGCTCCTCCCACGGGGGCAGTAAAGAACACGCCCGGAGCTCACGACTGTAGTGCAGGACCTTGCGGTTTGCACGTGCCGAAGACCTAAAGGAGGTCAGGCCGGGCCCTGGCGCGGATGGCGGCCCTCGGCAGAGCGAGTACGAGCGCAGGAGGAACCTCAGTCTGTCCCTCTTTCTTCTCCCTCCTGTGTGGCTTTCCGGGGTTCTCGCGGTGACTGTGAGCAGTGTCTGGGGAGGAAGGGGTAGAGAGACTTCCCCACTCGTGGGATCCCCACAGAGACTCTGAGCCAGCTTTGCCACCAAGGTGGTCTGGGTTGGAAGATGACCGAGGGGACATCTCAAACGGTGGTTAGGGTTGTGTCCACTCTGATTCCCCAGTGAAGAGGCGAGCAGGGTGTGCAGGAGACGAGGCTCCGAGTGTGTGGAGGTCACTCCGTGGAGGGGCTGAGAGCTCACTGTCTTGGGACCAGAGAGGGGCCGTGCCAACGTGCTGCGTTCTTCCTCCTGCCTTCCGAGGGACCCACCGCAGACCCGAAAGAGTCCCTGGCAGGGTTTCCACTGGGCAGATGAGGAGTCGGGAGCTGGGAGGCTCGGGGTAACGGGGTAACGACAGCTGGTGCTGAGAAAGCCGACTCCAGCCCAAAGCTCTTGCTCTTGGGATAGGGCCTTACGGGTCCGTTTGTCAAATTCTTTAGTTTTGCAAATGAGGAAACAGCTCTGAGAGGTGAGATGACTTGCCCAAGGATGCAAGCTTGTTACTAGCAGAGCCAGGACTAGAACCCGTGGCCCCAGAGCCCCTGCCCACCAGGCTGGCCTGCTGTCGGCTAGCAGGTGGGCCCAGTGGCCTTGTCAACACGCTGCGCCATCTCGGCGTGCTGTGGGGCCGCTGGTGGAGAAGCGTTAGGTTGGGCCTGACCACCCCGTTCCTCATGAACCTTGTTTGCTAATCTGCGGATGGTGCGTGGACACGGGCTGCTTGCTACGCAGCCGGCGCCCTGGAGACGCGGACGGGGCGAGGGCCCTGTGTGGACGCTCGTCAGCGGTTTGTCTCCCAGCCTGGCGAGGTTCCGTTTTCTCTCGTGTTAAGCAAATGTATTTGGGAACAGGCCAGTTATTTCAAGTGATGTCCCCAAAGCCCACATGTGGAGAAAGGTGTATAAACTTGGGGAAGCTGGGAATTTGGGAGAGCCGTGGCAGCCGCCGGATGCCACGTCACGGCAGGTGGAAAGCGGCAGGCCGGCCGACGCACAGCCTGCCCGCCCGTCATACCGTGTTTTTCTGGGTAGTACATTTATTGTGCGTCTTAAGCAAAGCATAGTATCTCCTAAAATTTTCCCACCATTATTAGTGACAATTAAAAAACATTTAAATGTGCCTTTGGAAACAGGTGTGGCAGCTTCTGAAGCAGGTGTTCTCACTCGGGCCGGTTCCCCCAGCCCACACCCCGCCGCGCTCCTCCTGCAGCTCACGCCTCGAGGCGCGGGACACAGGATTTTCAAAGCTGAGAGTTACTTTTCTTCATATTTTTCGGGAATGGAGTGGCGTTTGAGTGAGGACTTCCTGTTTTAGGCATGCCTGCTTAAATCATCGTGAATCAACTCTGCGTCTCATTTCAATAGTTTAAAACCACTGAAAACACGGGGCGCCCCTGGTGGCCACAGGAGTGGCTGTGTCCGTGGACTTCTCACTAGGGCTTGGTTTCTCCATGTCACTTGTTTAAAAAAGTGACAGTTGTTCTAAATGTTTCTAAAATTTTGTTTTAGCTGCAGAGTCTTTTCTTTAAGTAAAACGTCACGAAGCACAAATACGTACGGCAGACAGAAGGCAGGGGCTGAGGTGTATGAGGCTGGGCAGCAAGGCCCCACCCTCTCTAGACCCTGGCCCTCCCGGACCCCCACTCGGGCCAGAGCAGCGCCCGCTGTGGACTCCCCGAGCCCGGCTGCTTCCGAAGTCGCTTTGAGCTTAGTGATTTTTAGGAAGCGTCTCATTCAAAGTATTTCTTTTTTTTTAAGATTTTATTTATTTGTTTGACAGAGAGAGACACTGAGAGAGGGAACGCAAGCAGGGGGAGTGGGAGAGGGAGAAGCAGGCTTCCCGTGGAACAGGGAGCCTGATGCGGGGCTCTATCCCAAGACCCCGGGATCATGACCTGAGCCGAAGGCAGACGCTTAACAACTAAGCCACCCAGGCGCCCCAACTCAAAGTATTTCAAAAGAAGAAAATCTCGTCTTTCTCAGTTACCCATCCAGTTACTTGCTTTGTAAAAAGGAGGTCAGATACTGCTTTCCGTGTGGGTTAACTAATGTCGATAGAGACTGAAATTGTGATATATGCTTATTTGCTACATAGTGACAACTAGAAAGAAGAAAAAAATCATGCATTATCCAGACAGCTGCTGTTAATTTTTAAAACGTAAATGTGACCAAACTCCAGCAAACAGGAAACTCAGGTCCTGTGTGTGCCGCTCCACGAGCATGCACAAAGTGAGCACGCCCTTGCAACCCGCGTCCAGATCGAGACGTGTTCATGTTTGGGTGAGCTCCCCGAGGCTCTTTCCTCGGCCCAGTTTCTTGTTTTTATGTCGCCGTGATGACTCTGCATCTACAACTGAGTCCTGCCTTTTACCTTTAGCATCAGCTATAACATAAGCATGCTTCCGCCTCATTTCGCTTCTCTGTAGCGCTCACTTACCTCGGCTGCAGGCGCCGCCAGGCTGGTCTGCCCAGGCTCATGCACCAGCCTCAGCTGCGGGGGCTTAGCTGGTTTTGCTCTTACAGACAACACTGTGTGGAACGGCCTTGTGCAGAAAGCTTTTCCCACAGCTCTGCAGTTTCTTTAGGGTGTATTCCCAGAAGTGAAATTCCTGGGTCAGAGGGTCTGAGTATTTGGAAACCCCGAGTGTCCTGACTGCCCCCCCATTGTGTCCGGAGGGAGGTGGCTCCCCTGAGGGTCCGGCGCCGCCACGGGAGCCCCTGCTGCGCTGGGTGCCCGTCGTGGCGAGCGGGGACCTGCAGTCACGCCCCGCACACTGTTTATTCCACTTGGATCACAGGCTCGATGCCAGTGGCGGATTTGGAGCCAGCTGTCAGTGATTTATCGTCACCAGGACAGGAATAGCCTGTTGATATAAAAAGAAACCCAAGGAAAACCCCCAAACCTTGTTTTTGACCTTGGTTTCCCTCCTCCCTCCAAGCCCTTCCTGGAGCGGCTGATGTGAGGTGGGCCCGAGGGAGGCACGTGGCCCCACTCTGGGGTCGGTGGGCGACAGTGGGGAACCGGGGGCAGGGTCCAGAGGCCCCGACGCGGCTCTGGAGATGACTATCCCCGGCTCATGTCTCTGGCTGGCCGAGTGACTTTTCTTGGTTCCTGAGCCCTGGCTGTGGGCCCAGCGCTGAGCGGGCGAGGGGAGCTGCGATCAGAGAGATGTCTATCTCCTTCCTGTTTGGCGTCCCCTTCCTGCCAGATGAGTCACTTGTACCCGCGTGGTACCCACGGCAGGGTCTGTGAGGACCCGCCAGAGGTGCCGGGGGGTTGGAAGCAAGAGGAGGGGCAGGGCTGTTGCGGGAGTGGGCAGCCCTGACCCGCTGCCAGTTACCTGCCCCCGCCCGCCTTCGCCTGACCCAGAGGCGGGAGGCCCCTTTTCCTTCCACACGGAAAGAATACCCTGTTTTTTAGGTAAATGGGTTTGGGACCCATGATGTGTACCTGTGGGCAGCCTCTGGAACAGGACCAATTAAGTCCCTAATGCCATAAAGGGATGCTCATGGCCACAGAGGCCTCAGTTTCCCCATTTGTCAACGGGACCAACAATACGTACCTGCCCCCCCGAGTGTTTTTGAAATAGTATTGCGTAACCCCTGGTGATGGAATGAATGGTTTTCCCCATTTTGAGCAGAGAGCTGCCCTTCTTCACTCGGGCTTGTCACAGGGGGAGCTAAGCACCTGTGTGGTTTGTCTTTGTCCCTGTGAAGGTTCAAGAAGACGTGGACGCTGCACACGCTGAAGGAAGGCAAGGCGAGCGTGCACCCGCCGTACTCGCTGGGACAGCTGGTCCCCGAGAGGCCCAAGCCCACCCCGGTTTTGGTGCCCCTCATCTCCCCGCCGGTGTCCCCCAGCAGCCTCGGGTCTGACAGCACCTCGAGGCACAGCCGACCGGATGCCAGGGGCCCACAGAGCCCTTACGACATCAGCAACAGAGACTACTTCTTCCCCAGATAGCGGCGGGCGGGCTGCCAGGCCCTCCGAGCCTCGTGAGTGACGAAGCACAAACTGGCTCAGCTCAGGTGCCGGGGCCTCACGGAAGGTGCTTCACTTCCCGAAACAGGGTTGGCTGCCTCTGTCCAGAAGGAAGAGGTGGCTGAGTCTTGGAACCACCCTTTCCCAAGTGCCTAAAGGGGTCGACCCCCGGAGGAGGCAGGTCACCATCGTGCTGAACACTCAGGTGGACGAGCTGCCGGCCACCCACGCAGCCAGACTCCTCTGTGCGAGCGAGCGGCAGCCTGCGCCAGGCGGGACGGATTTCCAGCCGAGATTCCCCGGGCACCTGGCCTGCCGAGCAGCTCCACCTTCCAGCCTCAGTTCTTGGAGCCCGCGTGCCTTGGCAGTTCAGCCTTTCCAGGCCTGAGGATGGGAGAAGCACCTGCCTTTCTTCCCCACACCTGAAAATAGCACAGCGGGTCGCCTAGTATCTCAGGGCCTGGTGGTTTGAAATGGAATTGTAATTAGTTCCTCATTAGCATTTTGCTAAATGTGAATGGCGATCCCAGGCACTTGCTGAATCCAGAGCAGGTGCGCTGGCTCGACTTCCCTCTTTGGATCCCAGGACTTCAGGAGGAGAGAAGCAGAGAAGAGAGGGGACGGTCGTGGGGAGACAGGCCTCCGTGTCCTCCCCAGGGGTGGCACTGCCCGGGGACCCGGCCTCTGGAAGCCAGCTTCCCTGTCTCCCCACCCTGCTCCCCGACGAGGAGGACTGGCAGGGGCTTCTGCCGGGGGCGGGGGGGGGTCGCAACTGCTGTTCTTCTTCCTTGTTTTCAGCTGAGCCTGAGAAACAAGGGAAGATAATGTTTATGTGAAAAGACAAAGAACCCGGCAAGAATGTATTTTAACTTGTTTTTCTTAAAAAAACCCCCCAAAACTGCTGTTTTATCTTCGAGGGTGGGAGGGCCAGTATTCGCTGAGTGTCAGTATATGAGTAACTTGGGGGAAAAGCACAATAACCTTGTTTAGCACAAAATTGAGTCAAGTGAAAAAGGAGGAGAAAAGATAATTTTCCTTTTAGAGCAGAGAGTCTGGTTTCATTCTACATCTTGTTTTTGTCTTAAAAAGTGAGAACATAGTCTGTCTCCTTTAACCTGGGGAAAGCAGCTGCTTACCCCGCCAGGCCGGGGCAGCGGAGAGGGTGTCCGGCCCCCACCCCCGAGCCCTTGGTTGTGGGAGGGGGCTCCCTACAGAGTCCCCCACCGCGGGGTCCTCTTAGTTCCTCGATTTGATTCAGCCCAGCTAGGATCAGAGCACCCACGGACTGTGGCCACGTGGCCTCACCAGCGCCCTCGTGGCGAGTCCGGGCTTTGACAGTTCAGGGATGCGTGTGGTCACCCAAACGAGGGCCCTCGAGCAGCACGGGGTGTCCCAGAATGAAGCTGTGGTTTACAGGCAGCCTCGTAACCACCGCTGAACATTTACCAGACCACAGACTTTTCTAGTAGCCTGCTTTTTTAGACAGACAACCACCAGCACCAGACAGGTGGTGAGAGGATGAAAATGACCGGTGTCCTTACCGGTTGCCAGGGTCAGGCTGCGCTGCCCGAGTCCGTAAATCTCAGGCCCTGTTGCTGCTCTAGGCAACTAGTCTTCAGTTGACCGAAGTTAGGCAGGTGTCTTTTGTTGTTGTTTTTCTCTAAAGTTTCTTTGAGAACAGCAAAAATGCCATTAAAGGGAAATATGCAAAACGAGAATGTGCATGAGAAAGGTCTTTACCTCTTGGCGAGGTTAGGTTTTACTGGAGCCGAGATGGTGGAAGATGGACGGGCAGATAGCAGGCAGCGCCTGGCTGCTGAGAGCTGCCAGCTTTGATCTCCCAACTGTTACTGCTTTCATTATTATTGTAATGAAACTGCCTTTTTTTTTTTTCCTGTATTGGAGAGGGTTTTTTTCCCTTTATGTCTATATAAGCTAGTGAAAATGAAGGAAGAGGGTTTTTCTGTGGGCTGCAGGCTGTGCCCTGTGAGCTCAGGTGCACCGCTAAGCTCTGTGCTCAAATCCGCGGGCCGTGAGCGCGCTCCTACCTGAGGTCACCGCCCCTGGGTCCGGCAGGGCACCTGTTGCCTGTCCTCCTCGGCAGATGTTACCCACCTGGCCTGCAGCACAGCCAGACCGAGAGGACAGCTCCTCCTGCTGGGTGGGAAAAGCTGGTTTTTCAGCTTTTCAGGGTCTAAATGTGCTCAGTAATTCTTGTAGCATTAATGAAAACTTTCTTGAAATGTCAAGGGGGTAGCATTGAATGGACCTACGAAGCCTTCGGTGACCCCGAGAGCTCTTTGTTCTGACGAGGTCTTGCCCTTGAGGCCTGTTTGCCGGGCTCTGGGCTCACAGAGCCTCTGCCAGTTCCCTGCTATCCTGGGGGCGGGACACCTTGATAAGGGTTCGGGAGCCCACCTGGTGGTGAGCAGAGCCGTGTGGGGTAGGCTGGGCCTGGTCATGGTTTCTGGGCTTCCTGCAGAACGTTCAGGATCGTCTTGCCTCTTCAAAGGTACTGAAGGTTGACTCACTTGGGGAAGAGTCTGTCCTCCAGTTTCAGGTGGAGTTGGTGAGAAATGGGTCTTCATCTGGAGAAGCAGGGGTCACGGGGGGCCCTTCAGAGGCCACGCCAGCTTTCTCACGTGGCAGGTGGCAGTGGGGCTGTTGTTGGGAGGCAGGCCAGCTGGTTCGGCGTCTGTCCCCCACGTGTCCCCTGCGTCCCTCCAGCATCACGTCCTCCGTGTGGCCTGGTGGCAGAGCCGGGGAGTTTCTATGACAACCTTACTGATTATTAAAGAACGCTGTCGGTTTTATGAACATGTGCTCGGATGAAGGTCTGCTGTAGAAAGAGCACGTAGCAAGGCTGTGAATTAGCAGAGACACCACGTTTGGATGGGGATCACACACCCGTTAAGTACAATACCTCAGCTTTTTTGGAGAAAAATGTTTTAATTTTTGTTTTTATTTTTTACCTAATTACCTGAAAGCAAATACCAAAGGCTGATGTCTGTATGTGGGGCAAAGGGTCAGTATAATGTTTTTCAGTATTTTTCTTTTTATCAGCTATTTTCCATTCGAAGTGAAAATTGTAAATGTTTGAAATAAATAATTTCTAAAAATGTGCTGGAGACGTAATTATGCTTTGGGCACCCGGGCCGTTTGGAGGAAAGACGTGTCCAATTCAAGAGGGAAGGATTGGAGAATCGTGGGCTTAAGACTAAGCAGGACCGTTTGGGGTGGGCCTCCCCCACGGCACGATTGAGTTACCTCTAGAAAGAGGTAGGTTCCAGAAACAATAGCAATTTCTCAAAAGACTTTAATTATGAAAATGTTTCCCAAAATGAGTCCTGGGGTTTCTGGAAGGGCGTGGGCACTTCTGCCACGTTTAGCATCACGGCCGGGGGGTGGGCGTGTGGGGAAGGAAGAGGACGGGCAGCTATTCATCAGGAGACTGTTTACTGAACAGGGGGTGTGAACCACATCACAAAGGCGACCCTGCCCTCTTGAGCGGCAGCCTCAATCTGTCCCCTCTTGGAAAGGGTCTCTGGCAGGAAAACCTCGGGTCGCGGCCATCCGCGGCTTCCAAACAGAGGAGAGCCATCGTGTGGCTGCCTGCGGACTGGAGTTAGCAGGCGGCTCCAGGCTGGGGAGCCCAGAGATTCTGTACGTCAGACTGGAAGCCGGAGGCCCTGCCTGAGCCCCACGGGAGCCACGGTGCTGGCCTGCCGACCCCCTGTCTCCTCGAGGTCGGTCCCCGTCTTGCAGAAAGTGCCACAGGAAACAGATGTCTCCCTGGTGGCTGGGCTGTGTGGGCTGAGCAGGGGCACAGGAGTGGGCACCAGGACAGGAAATGGAAGGAGGAACCTCCCTCCGCACAGCGTTGCTGTCGGGCTGACATGGTCACGATGCTCTTTCCGCCAGAACCGGGAGAGCGGCGGGTGGTCCTCACAGGGGACGGCCGAGAGCACCCAGTTGCTGGGCCGGCCGCTGAGGAAAGCACTTTTTCTTTCCTCTTTGTCGAAGCAGGAGGAGACCAGGACTTTCTCCATGTCGGAGAGAAGTGCCGGCCAGAAGCAGGAAGCTTTCCGCCAAGCTTTTGGCCGCAGCCGGGCGGTGCTCGAGGGCAGCTGGGGCACGGTGGGGGCCGGGCCGGCCGGCTGTGGGGCCTGTGCACGCGTGGTGATGGCTGGTGACCTTGAGCCCTGCACTGGCCTTGAAATGCTGACCAATCCCTAGTGTCTTATGGAAGTCCCTGCTTGTCACTCACAACCAGACAAGACGACACCTTAGCCATGTCTTATTTCATACCAGTAGTTTTAGATGACAATCCAAAACGTGGGTAAAATTAAGTTTTTCAGTAAAATCATGAGACGTTCATACTGCGGATGTGTGTAATACTCAGTTAAGGATGCTCTTCTAATTTAACTTCAAATTGCTTAATACATCTGCCAGTGTTCACAAGTAGCTTACTGTGAAACGGAAGCTTCGTTACGATTTTCTAAAGAATGGAACTCATCGGGAAGACAGTTGCACATTATTTTGGTTTTTAAGTTGAAGTGCTGTGCAATAGGGATTTTGAAATGTTGAATGTTGTAAGCGCGACACCCTGGAGTCTGTGGCCAGCAAGGGAAGAACGGAGAAGTGGGGGGCAGACGGCAGCCTGCACACACCGGCCTGCAGGGCGCAAACCCACACCACCGGTGAGGAGCGGGGATCAGCAGGGACTCCTGTTCAGTAGGTGTGACGTGGGCGCAGAAAGCTAAGTAACCCCCCAGATGGCTCCGAGGAAGGTGCTCCTGAACCCCAGGGGTGACCGTGGCCATTTCTGGGATGAGGTGGGTGCTGGGGGCGTCCCACATGAGGACGTGGCGTCCTTTGGCGGATCGTTTCCACGGACAGGTCTGAGGGTCAGGAGCAGCTCGGGCTCCGGCCGTGGACCTCTGACTCACGATGGCGGTGCCTCCGTGTTGAGGGTCCCTGTGGGGCAGACCACGAGGCTGGAGGCGGGGTTCCGAGACAACGTATGGTGTTAATCGGGAAACAAAATCTGTGCACAGCAAAGGCGGACACCACCAGCCCTGCTGGTCACCTGGAGTCCACGGCCCCTTTTTGGTAGAAAAGAGAAAGGGTCCATTAAAATGAGCTGATAATAATAGCTACCACTTGTGGACCCTCCACCACGTGCTTCACAAACAGGATGTTCTTTCTCATCTGAACGGCGCTGCGGGTAAGTGTTCTAGCCGGCTTACAGGTGAGGCGGCTGAGGTGGGGGCAGGGGTCCAAGACAGGCTGACCTAGGCCGTAAACCTGGTCTGCCTGACTCCAAGAGCAGTGCTGTCCTCCCCATGTGGCTCAGGCCCCCCGGCACTGGTGACCACCGGGATGGTCCTCTCCAGCCCCCTGCAGGTGGGGTCCTGGCCCACTCACCCCCAATTCCCCATTTGGTTTGTCACACCTGTCATGTGAGCGAGGGCTAAGAAGCCAAGCCTGGGGGAGTCGGGAGCCCACAAAGGCAGGTCCCCGAAGCAGCCAAACCCCAAAAGATGAGGTATAGAGGGGAGGGGCAGCAGCTAGGTCCTTACTCATAATGACCCTTGATCAGAAACCAAATCCAACCACTTCCCCCCAGTCTGTACCAGCTCTGAACTCTGCGTGGATGGTTTGATTTTCTCCTGCTGCTTCTTGGTATACACTTCGGTGAACTTCCTTGAAATGCTCCACGTGCGCATTATGCCCACTCTCTCTGGAAGGTAATGGCCACTATGCTGTGAATGCTGGTTCTCTTTGGATGGTGAGACTTTCAAGGAAAGTGTCCTGAACCACAGTGACCCAGGAGGGACCGGCCCCTTCCTCGGGATGCTGGCCATCCACCAGAGTTTGGGAGCAAACACTCCCCAGGAGCGGATGGTCAGTGTGTGGTGGGGTTCAGTGGACGGGTCTGGGTGGAGAGTGGCTGCATGGGCTCAGGCTTGCCCAGGGCCGCTGGTGAGGGCTGGGGGGCTGCCCTGTACACACACTGGGTTGAGCGATTTTGTGCTATTCTAAAAGCAAGGAAGTCACTTTAGGAAGTCACTGAAGACTACATAGATAGATGACTTTTTGATGCATATTAAACATTTTTTCATGAGCATGTATGTTTTTACAATTAAAGAAAGCTTTTCACTAAACCCTGTGTTTTGGCATAGCTCAGCCGCACTGTGCTGTCTATGAAGAATGTTTCTTGAGAAGTATGAGAAGTAGGTGGGGACCAGAGGTTAAGCAAAGCTGACCGCGAGATAGCCAGTGGGAAGCTGCCCAGAGTCTTAGGTGAGTCTTTCCAAAGCCTTGACATTCTCCATTTAAAAAAATGCAAGGACTTTGGGGAGAATGTTTCACTTGCAAACATACCATTTAAAACAATCCAAAATGAATATAAACATGTCTCTTTCTTTTATTTATGTGACAGAGAGAGACACAGCGAGAGAAGGGACACAAGCAGGGGGAGTGGGAAAGGGAGAAGCAGGCTTCCCGCCGAGCAGGGAGCCCGATGCGGGGCTCGATCCCAGGACCCTGGGATCATGACCTG